TTCTCCCTCTGATTCTTGCTCTCCCGCAGGTAAAACCCCAGAGGAGGTACTGAAAAAGTACCTGCAGAAGGTGCGGCATCCGCCGGACGAGGTGCGAGCGCCGGGGCTTGTGCTGGGATGTCCCCAGGGTGCTTTGCTCTGGGATGGGCAGCGGGACATTCACGACGCCCTGGGCCATGTGGGGATCTCCTCCCTTCCCGTGCAGGGGTGTCCCACCACCCCTCATGGCTCTTCCCTGTCCCTGTCCCCCCCAAAGAGGGGTGGCAGCCCAGCCCCAGGGGTGGGTGCTGGTCCCAGGGCAGCTCATCAGCCCCGTGTCCTCGGCTCTGGCTGCATCCATCCGTGTGATCCCTCTCCTCCCCTTCCGTGCAGGACTGCACCATCTGCATGGAGCGTCTCTCTGCCCCCTCTGGCTACAAGGGGCCCCAGCCAGCCGTCAAGCCTGACCTCGTGGGGAAGCTGGTCAAGTGTAGCCACGTCTTCCACCTCCACTGCCTGGTGGCCATGTACAACAACGGCAACAAGGTGAGAGGCCTCGGCTCGGCGGCCTGTGCTGAGCTCCCCCTGCTCTTGGGGAGCAGCACTCGAGTCCTGCTGCCCCAGAGGACTCTGACCTCCCACCCTGGACAGTTTAATTTTTATCAGCAGCAAGCAAGCGCTTTGGGACTGCTGAGTCAGAACCTGGGGGTTGCCCGGGTGTGTTTTCACCCCCACTATGCCCAGTTTTATGTGCTTGCTTTCCTTCCCAGGGTGAACTTTCATCCCCTGAATGTTTGAGCAGAGCTACCTGGAATCCGGTGCCAGGCAGCGCTTTTCCAGCCACAGGAGGGCTTTCCTGAGCCCGCTGTAAATTCCCTGACATTCCCTAGAAAATGTGTTCCACATCGCTTGGAGATTTTTAATATTTATTGTATTTCTCCCTTAAAAACAAACAAACAAACAAACCAAAAAACCCCCATGAAATCAGAGGTAGGGAAAGCAATGAAAAACTGATGGGGAAGAGAAACACAGACCTCAGGTTTTTGGGTGAAGCTGGGTAGCCATAGTGAATTCCCCCAGCCCTATCCCGTGCTTCCTGGGTGTTTTTTTGGTGGCTTTTATGGTTAAAGCAGCGTTCAATGCTGCCCAGGCTCTGGGTGTGGCTTGCAGACACGGGTTTCAGTGTGTTCCCCTCTTCCTGCTCTCAGGATGGGAGCCTGCAGTGTCCCACCTGCAAAACCATCTACGGGGTGAAGACGGGGACGCAGCCCCCAGGGAAGATGGAGTATCACATCATCCCTCATGCCCTGCCCGGCCACGCCGACTGCAAAACCATCCGCATCATCTACAACATCCCCCCAGGGGTGCAGGTGAGGCCTGGCCCCATGGCTGGGGTGGGTGTGTGGGAGATCCCCCGTGGGGCTGGCGGCCCTCGTTGCTGCTGTGTTACCCCCCCAGGTCGTGCTGCACCTCGTGCCTTAGCCCAGGAGGCTGCTTGTCCGTAAGGATGTTGTGGGAAGTCTGGGTTGTGTCTGTGTGTCCCTGTCTGCCTGGTGGCAGGGGGATGGCGGCAATCAGTGTCCACTGAGGCTGGGGGGGGGGGTTACCTTGTGCCCAGAGCATCCTTTTGAGCTCCAAAAGGGTTTTCTTCTCCCACTTGCCACATTGCAGGGACCGGAGCATCCAAACCCTGGGAAGAGCTTCACGGCCCGTGGCTTCCCCCGGCACTGCTACCTGCCAGACAGCGAGAAGGGCAGGAAGGTGAGGGGCTCACCTGGGCAGCTCCAGCTGGCCAAGGCGTGTTGAGGGGGAGTGTGGGGAAAAATGGACTTGCTCAGGGGGAGGTTTTCCCATGGAGAACCTTCCCGTGCACCAGGGGGAGCTCAGCAGGCTGGTCCCTCTGTTTTGGCTGGGGCAGGACCCTGTGCTGGGATCCTGAGCTCCCTGCAGGGCTTGGCTGTGAGTTGCCCACGTTGCCAGGGCACACCAGGATGATCGGGCGTGCCTTGAACAGGAGGGGGTGCTTCCCCACCCGGTGTTTGCTTTGCTGCCTGACCCCTCTCCCGCCCCCACAGGTGCTGAGGCTGCTGCTGGTAGCCTGGGACCGGCGCCTGATCTTCGCCATTGGGACCTCCAGCACCACGGGAGAGTCGGACACGGTGATCTGGAACGAGATCCACCACAAGACAGAGTTCGGCTCCAACCTCACTGGCCACGGCTACCCTGACATCAACTACCTGGACAATGTCCTGGCCGAGCTGGCGGCCCAGGGCATCACGGAGGAGAGCCTGGCACAGGAGAAGGACTGACACCGTGGTGAGGAGGCAAGGAAAGGGTTGCCTGTGCTGGCACCCACCAGGATAAAGCTGCTGGAGAAACCCGCCTGGGGGCTTTTTGGGGTGCACCCGGAGCCCCCCGCTCCCAGTGGTGCCCGCGCGGTGGGAGCATCCCCAGGCTGGCCGGGAATGTGGGAGAAGGTCCTTTTGGCCGTCCCCTTCACTCCTGCGGGGTGGGAACCTCCCCACACGCAGCTGTGGGGCTTCAGGCTGGCGTGACCACCCCTCTGGATGGTGTGCTATCCTTGCTGCCACTGTGCTGAGGGCTTGGGGGGTGCCAGGCTCCCCTCCCTCCTCATCCACACCGGTGCCAGCCTGACCCAACTCCCCTGACACCCTCCTGGGGCTGGGACCTGGCCTGGGGCGGGAGCTGGAGCCGTGGGAGTCCCCCTTGCTCTGCCTCGTCCCTCTGACGTTTGTTTGTTTGTTCGTTCTGTCCGGTACCTTCCCTCTGGTCTCCTGTGTCCGTGGAGGTTGGGGGGGCCCTGGGCTGCCCCCCAGCCCTGTGCCCTCTGCTCCTCTTGGCTGTGTCTGAGCTGTGCCCTGCAGGGTCCCCTTGTCTGGGCTGCCCCCACCTCTGCATGCCAGGGAGGGGCTGGTGGGTACTAGGAAGTGGAGAGGGGGGGACAGTGATGGACATTTTCTGGCCCGTGTCCCACCCCCACCACAGTGGGTTCCTTGAACTGTTCGTATGGGGGTGTCCCCGCGTTGAATTTCTATAATACCTCGAATTTTGGGGTTTTGTCATATATATGTACATATAGGGGGGCATTTTGGGAGGCAGCCTGAGGCCTGGGAGAACGTGGTGCTGCAGCCAGACTGGGACTGGGCACGGTGGTGCTTGGGGATGGGACAGGGGCTGTGGAGACCCCCCACCCCAACAGGGCTCTGCCCCACAGGAGGGCTGTTACCTGTGGGTCCCCATAGGGCCAAGGTGCAGGCAGGGCTGAGAACTGTTCCCCTTGCTGCCCCCAGAGAGGCCTTGGAGGGGCTGGTGAGGGACTGGCATGGGCTGGGGCGTGGGTAGGAGAGTGTGTGTGATGGGGGGGTGGGGGAAGTGTGTTCTGTGTCATCTTGGGCTCCCCGGGCCTTTGGGTGACCCGGGCTGGCCGAATGTGTCCCTGCCCAGGGGGGTTAGGATGAGATGGTCTGTGAGGTCCCTTCCAGCCCAAACCAGTGTGGGATTCATAGGGCCTCTCAGAGCTGCCTGTGCCAGGGTGCTGGAGAGGTCCCCACAGTTTTGAGGGCTGCCACGGGGGCACTGTCCCCACTGCTGGGGTCTGGCTGCCCACAAGACCCCTGGGCTTGGAGAGCAAGAGTGGGGGGCAGCACCTACCACTGCCCAGGCTACCCCCAGCCCTGTGCTGTTGCCCCCTGGGGGAAGGTGGGGCCTCCCAGCCGGTTTTGTTGCATTCCCCTCCTGGTTTGCCCGGGGAGGGTCACCTCGCCCTCTGTGCTGGGGACGGTGGTGCGGGAAGGGGGCCCATCCTTCTGTGCATCGTTCTGTTGTCGTTGCTGTTTTCCCCCTCCGTGGTCCGGGGGGGTCTGTCACCCCCGCTGGCCACCCCGTGGAGGGGGGTGGGGGGTCAATAAAGCGAATGGCAGGGGACCCTCGTGGTCCCTGCACGGCCTGGCCTCTCTGTTGTCTTCTGTCAGTCGTCTGTGTGGCCAGGTGAGCGAGGGGCACTGTGGGCAGGGCCAGGCACCCTCGTCCCCCTGAAGCCCCTTTGCACCCATCCGTCCCCGGCCATCCTTAGCCTGGGTTGTTATTTTCTACCTCAAGGGAGAAAACCTCTTTCCCTGGGAACATCACCCCCCTTTTTGGGCGGCTCGGCCGCCCAGGGAGCTGCACAGCAGTGTGTGATTCCTCCCCCACGCCAGCCCTGGGTTTTCCCCGGTGCACACAAACCCCTTCTGGAGCTATGCAAAACCCTGCCGTGATCCGGGCAAGGAAGGGGAGGGTCCTCCCCCCCCACCTACTCCGCGGTTCCAGCCCGGTGGCTTTTATTGTGACTAAGTCTTTCCACGACGTGACTTTTTTTTTTTTTTTTTTCCTTTTTTAATGCTCTGTTGACTACACAGTCGGTTACTGGCTGAAATAAAACTGCTCCGTGGCTCCGTGCATGCGTGTGTATATCTATCCCGATAGATATACAAAGCTGGGCGGCCCCTCCTCTC